AAGTATTTCGGTAGCTATAATAGCTATGTTAAATAGCTATTGGCATTTAGAAGGGCCAAGAATATATTCCTGTTTGGCCATATTAAGAAAACTTATTTCAAGATTCAAATTTGAAGATTTTTCAAACTGCTCAGGTGTCTGATTTTCAGTTCATATAATGCATGTCGTGTTTTTTATCATTTGAGTTTCTTAATAAAAAAATCCCATGTGGAACGAAGTCATATAAATGACGTGTAGAAGCCTGTTACAACAGGGGTACTATCATGCTTTATCTTATTTCTAGTCTCATTGAAAAAAAAAAACTGAGTGTGCTTGACAAAGTCTGGTTTTCTATGCTGGTGACATCCTCCTTTGAATGAGTCTCACGATCGCTGTTCCATTATTATGCTCAGGATTAACTGGCATGTCATTATTTTGGGTCATCCTATTTACTCCCTTAAAATAAGGTACACTGGCGGTACCTTTCCTTCTCGTTGTACGAAGCTTTCAGAAAGCTCCAGGTTTTGGCAAATTCTAACTTCGGGTTTACTTTCAACTTCTAATTTTAATTCCCTTATCTTTTTTTCTAATTTGTTAGTTATGAAAGCTTCATTTTATACATTCATTTTTTGTATGTGAGAAATATACTTTATAAGCTTTTTCAATCTGCTGTAAATTAGACTTTCTGCAGAACTTGCAGAAGCTTTTTTTTTCCCCCTGATTGTTGGCTAGTGAATTTTGGTGGACCAAGAAGAAAGTCGTTAAATGAGTTCCCCTTATTGGCTGCTTTTTTTTTTTTTGATCCACAGCCTTTGTGGAATTGGCTTTTTGAAAGCATTAAGTTTATATATTACTGGTTTGAATTTTATTGTGTGTGCAAGTAACACATAATCAAATCACTTGTGTTTAAGCAACCATTACTGTTTAGTCTGTAATCAATTTTTTATTGATCAAGGTTCAGCCTTTTGTTAAATTAAAAACTTCATCTGCATAGAGGGAGTTAAGAAACCAATGCTTTCTTAATTCCTAAAAATCAGAAACACAAGACCTTGAGATTGTTGTTCAGCCTTGAGTCTTCCTCGTTGGTTGAGCTCATCCATGGTGTGATTTGGTGAACTGTAATAGATGCCAGCTGTTATTTCATCTTGCTATTATTCCAACTTATTATTTTGCTTGCTAAACGTTGCGATACGTTTAGCATAAGTACTTCTGTGAGTGAGAGATGGGTTGAAGTACTAACACACTTCCATTGTTCTGAACATAGTTTGTTATTATTATCAAATGTCCGTAATGGGTGAGATCAAAGGGCTGTCAAGCTCCACAGTCTGTCTGACAGTCGATGGAGAAGAACGGAAGAAAGAGGAAAAGTATTCTGGTAGAAAACTCTGTATTCTTGTCAACCTGTGCAGGCTGCCCTCCGTGACCACATAGTATACATATTTTTCAGTTTGATCTCAGCTCGATTTTTAGTGAGACAAAAATAGAAGTGTGACTAAGACACCTGAGGGAAATTTGGGAGACGGTCTTAATTTCCACTCTGCATGAATTGGCATTTGTCTCTTGTGCCTTGTTGTGGGGAGGGGGACAACTTTGTTGTGAAACATTGTTGCCTTTTTTTAACTGCATTATTCATGCCTTAAAAATCAAAATAAAACCCAAAACCTTATGGACACTGAGGATGTGACTGCCGCAAAATCATGCATTTCCTTTAGAAGGCAACGTTTGTTGATGATAAAAGATACTTCTGAGCTAAATTTCATGCAAATGCCTTTTGAGGATTGTAACTAAATCTGTTCTGATACTTTAAAAATGAAGTTGAGATTTATCGAGATGGTTTTCAGAGGTAGAGAGAGAGGCATAATAAGAAGTGAATTACTTGGTGGTGAGGTTTTACACCATTTCAGGAGGCAACGCTACTTTCTTCGGAGCTCCGACTTCATCAGTTGATCACAGTATCTGGCCTTAATTTTTTCTGTTTAGTTGTAGTGTTTCCTTGGAGCTCTCTGAGTTTGCTCTGGGTGCAGTTCTATATGTTTTTATTCTTAGTATGAAGAATTCCTACCTACGTGTCCCTGCCCTCATGGTCCTCTAAGGGGTGGTTCTTTGAGAAGGATAACCAATTTATGAAGAAAAGAATTGTGTTGAGCTTTTTCAACCTGAATACTGGTGTTCTGGGCAGCGGTCCCGCAAAGAAGTGTCTCGGCACAGGTGCGAAGGTGATGAGCTGTGGCAGGAAAGCAGAACTTTGCAAGGGGAAGCCCCGGTGCCAAAGACAACCTGTAATAGAGCTTACCCCCTCGCTGCTGCTTTGGAAATAAAAATCAGCCACCAAGGGCTTGCTTATGCCATAAACAAGCACTATATAGTTTAGTTACATTACACTTAATTTAAAAAAAAAAAAAAAGGAAAATATTTAAGGATGCAAAAATAGGATATAAAAAAATAGTCTTCCGTCCTTTTCTCCTTCTTTTTCCCAGTTCTCTACATTTCTGCTGGAGAAAATAAATTTGCTTTTCGCTATTCTAATTCCATGCGGAATACCAACGTACGTGTGTTTTCCTCTTCACATGTATTGCATAAATGCACTTTTCAAAATCCTGATCCCAATTCTTTGTTTATATTTAAATTTCCTTTATAGCCAAAGTGCTTTATGTATTTTGGAGAAGAATCTACTAGTTGGAAATCCTTTTTATTCCAAATTCTTCCTCTTTCTGAAGTTGTATCTTCTGAAGCAGACAGACGCCAGACTTAACCTGTTCTTGCTGCACTCCCCCCATAAGCATCACCAGGTTGGTTTTAACCGATTATTCTGTCTCCGCAGCACTAGATGGTGCTGATGACAGTATCTCTGAAATCTGAGCCTTCAAAAATACCAATGATTCGAAAAGTAGTGCTGCTGTTTTAGACCAAGGACCAGTTTGCAAATCCGAATTTTGATTTGAACAAAAATTTCAGTCTGTGAAGACAATAGCAGATTATGGGAGGGAGAAGAAGGTGGAAAGCCTACTAATATGTCTTATTTCTGTGTTGCTTCTTCCCTTTTAACAGGGAATGTTATAGTGGTTTTGACTAATAGCTGTGAATTAGTGGGAGGTTGGCATTTGGTTCCAGGAATGACACATCTTGTCAAGGCTCTGTTGGATAGCACAAAGGAAAAAATCAGATTCCAGTTTTCATGACGTCAAATATATTGTATTATCCTGAAAACACCAAATGTCCTCAACCCTCGTAACCACCATGGAGGTCTTGTAATCTCGTCCGATGTTCTTGCCGTATCAGTCCAGTTGTGATTATCACCACCTCAGTGATTGTGTCCTGGTGGGACCAGGAGTCGGGCAGCTGCGGTACCGACCCTGCTTTCGGCCGTGCCGTCTCAAGCCCGTTCCTCGAGCTGGCAGACTCTGGCTGAACCTTGAGGGATGGTACAACCTGCCCAGGGCCTCTCATGCGGGTTAATTAGATGCCTTAAGTGCGGCGAAGGTTGTCTTTACAAGGAAGCTGTTAATCTGTTCTAAGAAATATCTGACTGAAGAGGTGTTGGGAAATGGTGGAATTTATTGAGTTGGCTCTCGAGAGGTAAGACAGGGCTTGAGAAGCGTAACTAATTCCTTGTGGTGGTGGTAAGTGTTGGAAAAGCCTTCTCCTGAAGCTCTTGAGTAGCAACAAGGGGATAAGCACTGATACTCTGAGGAATCTATTCCTACCGTCTGTGAAGGATACAATATCAATGATATATTTTAAGTAAAAAAAATTAAGAGGACTTCTTCAAATGCATCATGTCTTGAGGCAGAAAAGCTTTCCAAGCACATGCCTCTGAGCACTGAAGCTGTCCTCCAGTTCCAAGAAATAGAGACTATCTAGAATATAACAGAGGTAGTATTTTGCCACTTAATTTTTTAGTTACTAAACTGGTTTTAATATTTTCTAAATGATCTGGTGAACAAGAAGTCTGCCACTGCTCCTTGTCCCATCAACAAGTGTAACCAACTCCACTAACAGCATGCTCAGGCATTACTGAATTTTGTTGGTGCTTATTTGTCCAGGCAGCCTTTTTGCCCTAACAGTCATCCTAGGAAAGCCTGATACGAGTCTTATAAAAGACTGCTCCAAAAAGAAACCAGAAGAATGTTTTTAACTACAGAAATCCTTAAAACATATGACCTAAACCAATATGGGGGGGAGGGAAAGTGGGTTATCTGTGAATTGAAAGCCATGTTTGAGGTATCCAGCGGCTTTACAGAAGTATCTGACCCCTTGAAGCTGCTGAGCACTAGCTGGTGGCCTTTGTCCACTGCTTCTGCTTACTTCTCATCTCTCCTTCCACCGTTGCAGTCAAGTTACATTCTACTTATATATCAGATTACACCATCCTCTGAGTGTCATTGCCATGCTTTTTTTCAAAATGCATGAAAAAATGTTTATTCCTCTGTATGTATATGGACCTCTGATTTCACAGATTATTTGTAAAGCTAAGGTAATGCTTTATTCCTTGACTTAAGCTAAAATAAATTTGAAAAGAATATATACTAGTAAAATGCAAAAACTCGGCCTCCAAATGCCCAAAGGTTCTGTCATATACTTGGATTTTTACCGTACTAAGCAAATAGGTTATTGAAATGAATAATACACAAGATGCTCAAGGACGTATTGCAATATATTGCATGAGGTGCTGCACTTAAAAATTGCATTTTAGCAAACACATACTGGTTATGAACTAAAATTGCATGTATACCATTCCTTCTGTTACAGTTTGACTTTTAAGAATTTAACCATGAACATATGATGATCTTCACATCGTTTATTGTATAGAATATTTCTAATTCAAATTCTGCTGTTGCTTAGCCCAGATGTTAAATAAATAAATAAATAAATTCCGTAACTATTGTGCATCGCATTCTAAAAATCTATTCGACATTGTGTGTATAAAAAAACATCTCTTCTGACTAGATAGTCTAACTATTTCAGGACATTATTGTGAAGTTATTTTAATATTTTTTTCTTTTTTTTTCCCCCCCCTCCAGTTTATTTTCTTTGTTGTCTAAAAAACACAACAAAGTGCTGGAACAAGCCACGCAGTCCTTGAGAGGTTCCCTCGGTTCAAATGATTCTCCACTTCCTGATTATGTGAGTATCGAACTTAATGTTTTAGTAGATGCTTCAAAATAGAAGTGGTACATCCCTAAATCTGCAAAGATTTATCAAAATGTGTGACAGCTAAGCAACCACCAACACCAAAATACAGGAACCTGTATGAATGATGTCATGTCTGAAACGTCTTTAAAAAAAAAAAAACACACTTACAAATGGCAAAACAAAACCGCAACTATTCATAGCTAAGAGACTTACTGTACCCTGTCAACTTGCAATTCTCAAGCCATTTGTATTTCAGGATATTTAAATCATACAGTTAAAAACATTGTTTTTAAGAACGGGACTTTGGCATCCATAGTATGTTAAAATGCCTACAAATGATTGAAACAATTCCCAGTGCGTGTTTGGGGGAGTACTGCAGTCATGGGGCAAATTGCTATGTTCTGAACACATGGATCCATACAGTCCTTTTCAGTTTACTGAGCCAATACCCACAAATAGGCAACAATTTTGTAATTTAATTGCACGGCTTGTTGGAAAATCTCTAGTTTCGGTACAAGAAGGAGACATCTTCCAAGGACTTGAATAACGTCTTTGTACTACTGAAGTATCTTCGGTTTGTACTCACTTGAACTCTCACTGCAATACTGTGTAAAAAAACAGTTGATTTATCAGTTGCTCTGGATTTTTGAGGATGAAAATGTAACAACTGTTTTATTTTCGGTGTTAATACATGTTCCAGGACATGCCTGTCTGAGACTTTACTATCATATTACTGTAACATTAAGTATAAAAGTACCTAAAAAGATAATTTGATATAATAGTTTAATGACTTAAATTTAATTTAACTAACCAGGTTTCTTAACCTGCAGCTTTTAGTTATTATTGCTGACACGTACCATACAAACTAGAGCCATTTTGTTATTCACAGACACATGGGTTTATAGAGTAAATGAATCACTTGCAGGTTTTTCCTGTGTTTGCCTTACCATGCCCTAATTCATGTGAAGCTCCTTATGACACCTGTGGTTTTAGGGCTTTTGATTTCTCTCCCAGAAGTTGCTATCTGACCTTTAATTTTTGGAACTTGAAACATTTCAGCAAGAACCCACTTAATTTAGTTTGTGGTTAAAGACCAGGAGATCCCACTTCTGTTTGCCTGGTAAGGCGATACACAAGCTGGATAAAGCTCTTTCATCTGCGTGGGCATGAATAACTGAAAGCCCCCAAGACTTCAAACACCTTGGAGAGGATTTGATGGCCCTTTCCCATGGGTTTGCTTCTCAAGCAGTAGGGGCTCATGGTGTAGGGGCTTCCGCGGTTGGAAGGATTGCAGCATTTTGGATGCATTGAGCATTTCCGAGTGTTGTGATTGATAAGGCTCTTGGGGCCGTATTTCTCAGAGGTGATTAACCCCGGTGTCATGCCAGGTTCCAGCTTAAGCAATTATACAGCTACGTGTTCAAATTCCTCCTGTGGTCTCGTGGCTCTTTATTGAGCTGTCCTCGAGAGCTATGGTGCTTCAGTTGGCTTCCAGGGCAAAGGGAGGCTGCTTTGGTGGAGGTGATGGCTTTTCATACCTGAGATATATCATACCATACCATATCATATATCATATCATGAGATAGTTCTGCATAACATGCAGTATCACAGCCCAGAGGGGTTGGAGTGGGTGCTTGGGAGAGGGTTTATGGGCACAGGGGCTCCATAAGCTGGAATTGCTGTTAAAGGCTGTGTACTTTGAAACTAACCTCTGAGACATTGTGGGGTTTTGGTTAAATAACTGTCAAGCATCTTCAGACGCCTCGAGAATAGGGCTGAAGTTTTTAACACTAACTTATGTCCCTAATGCAGGGACTGCAGTTGTATGTGGCCTGTTGTCAGAAGGAGGATATTGATATTTAGTTGAAGACGTCCCTGCCCGTGGCAGGGGGGTTGGACTAGATGACCTTTAAAGGTCCCTTCCAACCCAAACCATTCGATGATTTATGAAGAGAGACCCTTGTATTTTCTTTCCTAGACAAACAAATTACCATCCTCACTGTTCAGAGGAAAGAAAACAGCATGATAAACATGTATGCTTGTAAAAGGGCACATATAAATAAATATATATATGTGCACACACACATAGGCATATGTTTACGTATATGTGGGTATATATATATGTATATATTTCAGTGTGTGTATGAATTTGGTGCTTGAAAACTGTTTTATAGATTTTGGGCTTCTTTTTAACTTACTGGATGCGAACTATATACTGCAGCTAAGGAAAGACCCAAGGTGCTCACTGTACATAGTTATCCCCTTACAGATGGAGACAGCTGAGAAATGCAGTTTACGGAGCAGTGCTGGGGAAGCACTCTGGAGTGCAACCCAGAGACTTAGATACTTCCCTGAATTTCTTCCCTTTTATTGTTGATATGACGTAGGGGAGGGAGGGGAGAGGGAGAGCAGTTGGAAAGATTGCTGTCGGGGAGAGTAAAATCACTAAAGTTCATGAAAGAAGAATGTATACTTTTATGCATGGCTTTTTTTTTTTCTCTCCAAATGGCTCATGTTCCAGCTCGATCTGAGGCATAGGCAGTTGGCTAAATAAAAGCTGAGGCCAGATTTCATTTACTTCAGCATATTCTGCTTCTGAAAGCCCATGTTTGTGTTGTCTGTAAGAATAGCGAAGAATCTAGGAACTGATAGAATATAAGTGTCTGAAGTCCTGAAGCCCATTCTAGCACTGTATCCCGGCGTGAGCTAAAGAGAGGGATGATTCTGAGATTGCCTGCTCTGCCCAGGTTTATCTCTAGAGAGGAGGAGAATTGCTTGGTAGGCTGTTCTCTTCATAGGTTTCATTCAGATGAGTCAAACATGTTTTAAAAATTTATTTCTCATTATTTTAATTCTTTTTAAATTTATTTAATTCGTTTAATTTTTAAATGATTTTTTTTCTTACTGTGTTGTGTAACCCAAAAGTGAATTTACATGGTACCTAGGTCACAAGGGTTAAATCATACATAAAATTATTCTATGTTGCTTATGGTCTTGTCTTGAGCCTTTCTACTCACTTGTGAGTACTAGACTTCAAAAAACAAATTGTGGTAAATACTGTGTGTTCCTTCTTAGGGCTAGGAAGGATATGGAAGGAAAAAGGCAGCATCAGTGATCTTGAATTGAGCCCTCTCCATTGTGAACATCGAATGATGGAGAGCTGCTGTGGCACAGTATGCCCGTGCCGTAACGCGTACACACAAAGGGAGCAAATGGAGATTAAGAGATGGGCAGCTCTTAATTTCTGAGTGCTCAAGCAGTAGTAGTGTTTCTACTCTACTTTGTTTTCATTCCTGTACAAACCTAAGTTTTTGTCTTAATATACAGTCCTTTCGCTGCTGATTATTGATGGTGGTAAGAAGATACTGGGATCCTCCTTTACTGTGTTTCTTACGGTATTTTTGTGAGTCTCTGCTGCAGACTACCACCAGGTCTCTGGTGTACCAGCAAAGCTGCAGGTATTTTGCTGTGAACTAGAACAAGGAACTGACCCGCCTGGCTTTTATGTTGTTCTTTTTGAGGTTTTCTGGGCTTTAAAAAAGAAAAGAGCAAGTTGTTTCGTTTATTAAGGCTAGACCAGCTTCCTGGTCCTTTCCTGATAAACTGTAGTCAATGTGATGGGATTCAGGAGCAGGATGGAGAAGCCAGCGGGGAAGAAAGAAGAATACCCTGTCATCAAACCATTGCCTCAGAGACAGGATCCTTGGTTAGACCAATTCTCATGCTACTTCGTTTCCTAGTTGTTCAATAAGCTTTATTATTAAGCGTTATTTTCATAGTAGCAATGACCTGTTTTGAAATACCACGCTTTGGTCAAGTTGTCCTTGTCTGCGAGTATCTCCAGGCTTGAAGAAATGGGAAAAATCCAGTTAGGTTTTTTTATAGCATTCTTGCGTTCAATGAAAGCACATTTTCCAAAATTTTTAACAACAAACAAGAAAACTGGTAATAAAGTAATTGAGAATTTTGCTTCTTCCAGTTCAAATCAAGACAAATTACTTAAGTAAACATATCAATGATTTTCTTTATAATTTTATTACAGCCTAATGTAATTTGTTAAATCATAGATACTTAGCAGCATAACTGGAGACACGCTAACTTCCCTTGGAAAGTAGCACGTCAGACCTGTTGTTGGAACTACCATCTACCCAAACAGTTGCTTTTTAAGGATTTCATAGTATTGTGTATGATTTCTGAGCACTTCAATGGTTGTTATTCTGCAGCTGGTAAGGAGACATTCTCCTTAACTATTTCTAGGAAGACGGGGAGGCAGAAGAAGAGAGTAAATTTTTAATTTTGGCGAGCTTATGTCAGAGGTTCAGAATTCTCTTGCTGATGTAAGAAAAAAAATTTGCTTAATGCAAAAATTGAGGAAAATAAAAATCAAATGTAGGAATAGTTTTAGATTCAAATACTTTGGCATGCATCATCCTTTGAGTCTGTATTTGGATACATAGCTTTTGATTTGGTTTCTAAATTTATTTCAACATCATCTAATGCAACGCAGGGACAAGGGATTTTATGTCAGTGGGAGCCCAAACTCTTGTTTACTGGTGGTGGGCGTGAAGGCTTAGTAGTTAAATGAAAACTCCTTGGAGCACATTTTGAGAATCACTCAACACCCAGGGTAGGGGTCACGGTTCTGAGCACCCCACGCTGCTGTCTGCTGGGATTTCTTCTCTTCACCATCCATGGGGATTTTACTGACAGCCGTCAGTTGCTTAATAGAATAATATTAACAGAAAGTAGTGTAGGTAAGGTGATCACTAGCCACATAGGAAAAATGCTAAAATTCACTGCAGTGTAACTTTTTTTTTTTACCTTGGAAATTTTGGCTATAAAAAAATGCATTGTTCTATACAGGTGAAGCTTAAAAGTGTTGGGAAAAATTCTAAAAATAATCCCACTTAGTGCTGATATCTTCAATTACTTCATATATAGGACTGTCATTTAACCAGCACTTCGATGGTGGAGGAATTTTGTCAGTGATA